TTTAGTATTTGGAAACATTAAACTGTTCTGCAAATAAAAATTATTGTGCATCTGCTTGTCAAAATTTTCAATTGAAGGCGTTGTTTTCAAACATTATTATTATCTATCAAGATACTAAGTGTTTTGAAAGTAATATATTAAAAGTATCGAATTTAGCACAGTTATTCAGACGTTTTGGCCGTATTAACATTTTGTCATGTATTTTTCAATTTTCATAGTGGAAGCTTCAGCTGGAATATCACCGATTTGTCATTTATTTATTTTACCAATTCTACCTTTAGCCAAACGCCACTTTAGCGCTTGTCTATAGAGACAGTAGAAAACTAAATGTATGGGGATGACGCGGACAATTGTCATACAATTTGGTTATTATCCATACATACATACAACATATAATTTGGTTTTCTATTCTACATATTGCTGTATTGATCACTTTATTAGAAAGAGAAGATATTCTATATTGATGTACTCGTCATTTTGGGTCTGACGTCACTGACGTGCATTTGTTTTTTTCATTCATTTGTATTGCGAGTTAAATAGAAAGAGTACGGTTTATATTTCGGCCTCTTTCATTTTGAGCGTGACGTCATTGACGTGTCATTTGTTTTTTGTTAATTTGTGTTAATTAAAATTTTTAATTTAAAATTTATAAATAAAATCCAATTTAATTTTTAAAATAATTACTATGATTTCCGACACCTAAGTAAAATAATTTTTAAGGTGCTTTACAGTACGTCACAAATGCGGTTGCAGTGCATTCCATGTACAACTGAGATTTTAGATGACCCTAATTTTAATCTAATCAATGTTTTTCTGAAAATCGATGGATTCTCAGACATGATGGCGTAATTAAATAGTCTTCACGTAGCCCATAGCATAAATAAGTAGGTTTTAACGAAAGCGTTCATACTTAGTACCTACTTGCGATGATCACAAACTGACAGGTTTAACATCATTAGCTGGTATCTACTATAACATAAAGGTGCATAATCGGATGCTGCCGGATTGTGACCGGCCCGGTTACGCAACGGCTTAGCTTACTAGTGTCGACGATGTAGGTCATAGATTGTTTTAGATATAGTCTGTGGTGTCTATGTATGTTTTTCGGGTTTGTATAGACAAAGTCGGGAGCCGTTGGGTGTAGAGGTGGGGCGTTGTCATTCGACGTGGAGAACTGGATAAGGAAGAGATAAGGATGAGGCTTCAGTTCAGTTGACGTCAACCGGCTGATGATGAGAATGAGAATGACTTAAAACTATTGTGACGATGGATAAACTATGGACATGATAGCTCGTTTCTTTTTGTAACGGAACCTTGCTTTACTTATAGACTAGCTACTTCCACGCGGTTTCATACACTTTGCTCGGCTCCTATTAGTTGTAGCGTGATGTTTTATAGCCTATAGCCTTCCTCCTTAAATTCTCTATCCAACACAAAAATAATTATTGAAATCGGTAATGTAGTTTCGGAGATTAGTGCGTTCAAACAAACAAACTCTTCAACTTTATATAATAGTAGATATAAGATTGAATGACATTGTTTAAATGTTGATTTTCTATTATAAAGTCTAAAGTCAGATTGAAATAAATGCACTTTCGAATGAATTTGATCAGCTATGTACAAAAACAACGTCAAAGATTTTGAAATCACGTATTACAAAGCTGTTATCTAGTCTTTTCATTAGTTATTTACACTATTCAAATATTACAATAACTGAAAGCCAAAGTTTAAGTCACATCAAAGTGAACTTTACGCCATCAGTAATAGAGTTCGTTAGGGTTAATCCGGCGACATCCGGGCCGGTTCCGGTCGGTTACGTTCACACGTGTACGGCTGTCCGGCCGGTATGTTGCTACACCGGCTTAATTCTATTACGACCTATTCCTATTTTTGTTGTGAGCGATCTAGATGTCTAGGTTTAGTGTTGGGTATTTTTGGATTAGTATAGAGGTATATTACCTCTATATAGGTTTGCATTTTTCAAAATACATCTATTTTTCATCACACTCTCGCTTCTCATGCATGAGGGTGCAGTTTCGAAACCTACCAACGGCAACTACCAGTGTGACTTTTCCCAAGTTATATGTACTTTCTAAGATTATTTAGACACCACTAACAAACGGTGAAGGAAAACATCGTGAGGAAACCTGGACTTATAATTTCTAATTATAAGTTTGAAATCGCCAACCCGCAGTTAACAAGCATGGTGATTAATGCTCAAACCTTCTCCGTGGGACAAGCGGCTTTGCTTAGCAGTAGGCACTTATAAGCTGCTGATTCTCTCTTTCTGCTTTTTGATATCTTATATCCGAAGATAATAAGGACACGAACGCAAAGTCTCGAATGTGTGGTTAAAGTGATTACAGCTGAATACTTGAGATTGGGTCGCTATTGTTGGTGTCTCGGAGTGAGGTCCGGAATATTATAGAATAGCAGTCAAATATAATAAATATGATTTAATAAATGTAACATAATTATATGCGTGTGTAATGTTTTCGACAAATTATTAAAACAATTTCATTAAACTGTCTATGTTTATCGAAAGATTTAACTGAATTAAAAGTGTACCTACCAATTAATAAATTGAGAAATAATTTTAGGTACCTACGTTAGGTAAAATCGATATATCTTCAAACGACAAGAGGTGCAGCCAAAAAAACTCTCGGACGGGGCCCAATAGGGCTGATGCCGATACGGAGCCGCGGAGGATTTAATGGGTTGCCGAGGCTCCGGCTCGAAGTGCAGGATTGGGAACGGGGTGGTTTTAGTTAGTAAGAGTCTGACACTACCTCTTTACTCACTCAGGCGGGAAAAGTCATTAGATGATTTCCCCCCCAAAAAAGGCAAAAAACTCTAAAACGGGTAAAATCAGCGTTCACCTTTGCTCTTCGCCTCCAAACAAACTTACCATCTCCAGCTCTATTTGTTGAACTCGTGGCCGGCGAGCAAACAAACACTAAAAACAAAGAAACGTACACAGATGAGGTTATGCAAGCAAGCCAAAAAGTACAGCAGAAAGTCTTCAGTTCAATTCCAACCTCGTTTGTTTACGATACTGATTGAAATGGTGCAATTCGGTTTAAAAGTCTTAATTTAGTGTTCAAATAGGTGCTGGTTAGGTTAGATGTAGATTTTTTATGTGTGTTTGTGTGGGTTAAAGTTCAAAAAGGCTTAGTGTTTTATGTTTTTTTTTATTATTTTGTTTACAATACTTTTATCTTTTTAGTAAACGTTGTCTTACTAGATTACATTCGTTAATCGTGGGTGCATTCGCAAGTTTATAAAAAATACTGCACGGTTAGTGCGGTGGCTAGGAACGTGTAGTGGGTTCGAGCAACTCTTTGTGTGATCCCCAAATTATTGTTTCGGGTTTGGGTGTCATTGTGTATGTGAACTTCTATGTTTGTAAACGTACCCACGACACAGGAGAATTTTCTAGTGTGGGGCAACGTATTTTAAAAAAAGCACATAATTTTATTCACATATCATACACATTCAGATCCAGAACTATAATATGTGGATTACATATACAATAATGATTCTGAGTTCCAAAACAGTAATTTATAAGCTTGAAACATGCCAATTCACGTTCGCAGTTCAATATTTAATTATTCAAAATATATGACATTTGAACTTCGACCTAATTCCGCGAATCGATAGTTATATTATTAAAAAGATTGCTTGACACCACATTTATACCTTTTTCTATGGACACAATAGTTTTTACACACTTTTTGTGTTAACCGGCTTTCATTACTACTTGGTATTGGAGTTTTAGTAATATTGACCTAACCATTCGATGACGCCATTTCATGTTAATTTTAAGTATTTTCGTCTATTGTAAATTATCATTTGTCTGCAGCTGTATTATTGCGAGTCAAAAATCTTTTCCCACGTGGAAAGGAGAGAATATTAAGAATTATTATGATTGGAATAAAAAAATCTCTAGAAATATTATAAAAAACTGAAGAGTTTGCATTTTTGTTTGAATGGGCCAATCTCCAGAACTGCTGATTCTAATTTCACAATTCTTCAAGATATGAAACATCGCGCTATGATTAATATTAGCCAAGTAGTGGGTGAAATCATTTATAACACGAATTATCATACATAGCGGTTACAATACATATGCCCGAATACTGACACGTTACTCAATTTAAGTCGCGCTTAAGCATAGTTCTGTCTCTACAAATTCTTTGTAAAATGACAGAGACAGTATGATATTTAAGCTCGACTTAAAATTGAGTAACATTTTAGTATTCCAGCAAGAGCTGTGGTGTGATGCTACGTGGCTACGTTCGTTGCTACGTCGCGAGGGAGATTGCTACGAAAACGCTACGAGTTTACATTTTTGTTAAAAACACGTACAGTTTTAATACATTTTGTATAATTTATACTAAACATTATTTTAAATATCAATAAAATTTCATGAAGCCTGAAAATCATTATGTACTGTGTTTTAATGTATCAAATTTTTCACGCTATTTCAGTTAAGTATTCAAAGTTAGAGTCTGAAAAAATATACGTTTATAAAGAAAATTATGTTGATACATAAAAGTTGTTATTTCAGCCATTAGTCTCAGTAAATTGTGTAAGTTTTTATATAAAATCTCTGAAAATAAACCGGTGAAAATATGTATATCAGCAAAAGAAAGTTTTTCTAACCAATAAGTTAATGTTCATTAATTTTTATATCAGATTAGTTTAAATATTAAGAATTATGATTTTAAAATGCTATTTATCAATAATTTGAAAATTATTCGAATAAGTGTGGGCGAGCCATGCTTCGGCACGAATGGGCCGGCTCGACCGGAGTGATACCACGGCCTCACAGAGAACCGACGTGAAACAACGCTTACGTTGTGTATAAGTGAGGTTACTTGAGGTCCAATTACCCCCATCTCTCCAATCCCTGAATCCCCAAACAATGCTCAAATTCCTAATCCCCAAAAGGCTGATATTACAAATTTAAAAAAAAGATTCTTTTTCTTTGTCCACAGGAGGGTGTTCTGCTTTTGGCCACTCGTGCTTCGGCGGCCACGGCAAAAGGTCGGGGGATACTGCTGCCATGGATGTAAGTATACATTCAGACATTCAACGTCTTACGAGGGGTAGGCTGTACATTCTTCAAAGAGAGATCTATGAACAAGCTCTTTGAAATTAGTTTACCGGAGTGACCTTCGTGTTGCAGAGTAACGTAGTACCTTTTGTTTTATGGGTACTGCTGCCATGGATATTTAAGACCATGTTTCTAAACGTTTTAATTCATATTTTCTATTGGTGTGTTGACTTTTCAGATCATATGAACCCAACTGGTAGATATTCTAAATAAAATGCAGAAAAGAAGCCTTCAATTATAATGAAGTATTGTTATAACACGAAGTAATCATTACATATAACATCACGCTTTTTATCCTTAAAGGGGTAGGCAGAGGTGCACATTACAGCACTTAATACTATGTAACACCAACTTTTCACTATTTCTGTTTTGAGTCCCATGTAATAGGGGGTGAGCCTATTGCCATACACCGGGCACATTTCCAGACTCCGTGCTACTACTGAGAATTTTTTTTGAAACTCAGTAGTACTTTGCCCAACCTGGGAATCGAACTTTTGTCCAGCAGTCATACTTGCGACCACTCGGTCAATGAAGCAGGTAGTCAGTAATAATTACAATTGAAGTAAATTAAAAATTACAGTTAAAATTATAATAAACTGAAAACAACATTTTAACACGTTCATCACCGGTGAATTTCTGAATGAAAAGTACTTACTGAAAAGAAATTGTGAACATTTCAGGTGCTCCTCTTAGCGTAAAAGTATAAAAGCTTAATTGCATCATAATTATTATTTTTTTTTTTTAACGCTTCATGCACAAGGTGTACACAAGGTGGACTTAATGCCGCAGGCATTTTCTCCCAGTCTGACCTTTGGGTGATGCAGAGAAGAGTGAATGATAGGAGCAAGAAGCAAGCAACGATTTAATTGAGAAAATAGAAGATTACACTAACATATTTCAAATATGAACATAAATAAATATAATAATAATATATATATATATATATACCTACACACGAGTACACTACAATATACATACATACATAGACTCATAGCATATAATATAAATATGAATATAATTACTAATACCCTGTAAATAATTATTGTGACGATTCAGCCAACCTCTTCAAAAGAAGCTCACGCACTTTCAGCTTAAATGTTAGACGTGTCGACACCATCCTGACATCCAGGGGGAGCGCATTCCACAGCAAAATTGCCTGCACGAAAAATGAAGAATGAAGGAAGTCAGTGCGATGAGTGGGACATTGGAGAAGACGGTTATGGGAAGAACAAAGGTTTTTACTGTGGTTTGCGCACAAGTATTGAAAGTAAGGGGATAGATAACTGGGTAAAGAAGGTGAACAAAGAAAAGAGAATAGAGTGGTTAGCGCCCTTTGCTCCCTGCGCTGGCGTATGGGCAGCCACTTCAGTTGCAGCCGATGTGCAGAAACATGATCGTATTTACGCAGGTTGAAAACGAATCGAATGCAGTTATTTAGAAGTCGGTCAAGTTTGTTGAGGAGATCTGCATTCAGGTCGTAGTAGCACACATCAGCATAATCGATAATAGGGAAAACCAAAGCCTGCACCAACATAGCCTTCGTAGCGGGAGGAAGTAAATTTTTTGCACGATACAAAGCTCGCATGGATCCAGTAACCTTTTTGCACACACTGGTGACCTGAGCATGCCACTTCAAATTATTATCCATATGCAGTCCCAGGTTTTTCACCTCATCACTATACGGGATTACTGCTCCATCGAAAACCACTGCCGGCAAGGAAGCCATGTCAACTCCATTCATCGTGCGAGAGCCACCTATAAGAATGGCTTGACATTTCCAAGGATTCACTGCTATGCCAAACCTATCGGACCAGTTCTGGATGGCCGCCAGGTCAACGTTCATCTCCGAGATCGCATCAGACAGCCCATCAACATGAGCTTGACGATATAGCTGCAAGTCGTCAGCGTACAGATGGTACGCACACCGAAGTTCAGAGGTTATAAAATTAATGAAAATAGAAAATAGAAGAGGAGATAGTATACCGCCTTGAGGAACGCCAGCCAGCATTATCTTGTCGAAATAATATTTTTTACGTCTCATTTTAAATGTGGAAGGTGTCTAGACTGAGAAAATACGACATCGCACCTATATATAAATGAAGATATTTGTTTCTGTTGGTTGCTGGCTGTTCTGAGTTCATATAAAATGTTATTATGTACACTTCTATTTAAAAATTAAAATATAATATCTAGGTAGGTACTTATGAGGTCTAGAGTCAGATACAGTTGCAATATTTTTATTAAAATAATTTTCTAAACACAGTCTATGACTGAGTGTACACTTGATCAACTTATAACTAAACAAATCACGAAAAGCTTGCAATATTTTAAAAGTACCCCAAATAATATTAATCCATACCTATATTCCCAAGCGGTCACCGGTGACCACTCTCCACTAACTACATTATAGACCTTATTTCCAATGCTTAGAGACTACTTTTGTACGAACAAATTTAGGGGATGATTTTCAAGAATTGCATCACCTATACAAGACATAATGTCATCCCACATGTCAAAAAAACGTTACACAATATTAAACTTTAACCCAATATTGATTCAGTTGAGTATCACTTAACATTTCACGTTTGTACTGGAAACTTAAAAGAGGAATAGAGAGGGTCCTTCACACCCCTAAATCTACATACGACCTTATAGTTTCAAGATAATGGAAGATAAATATTAGGTTATAGGGTTATAATGTTTTATAAGACGTTTGGCTTTCAGGTTAGTCGGCTTCAAAACAATAGGTTTTTGTAAGATGATGGGCTAACTACATGTCCCTGTGTACCTACACACACAGGGACATGTAGTTAGCCCATCATCTTACACTCATCAGGCTTGATGACACCATCAAGCCTGATTGAACCTATTGAATTAATAAAATATAACACTGGCTGCTTTACAGTGTTTAGTTTTTGAATAGTTCTGCCAGGTGACACTTTATGTTTTTGTTTCGTTCTGTTGTTGTTCTTACCTTTCATAGAAGTATGTGCAAGTAAATAAAAGTAAATAATTATTTACAAGAATACAATCTTTTATTAGAATTCCTAGCCCCTAACTCAATAGGTTATGGGCCCAGGATACTCTGCTAGTGAACATAAGGTAAAGAAAACGTGAATAAGAAAAAATTCATTGTCGAGATTTGTAACGTCAAACAAAATGGATCCGACACGAATGAATTTAGAAAAATTTGATGGAAATAACTTTAGACAGTGGAAATTCCAAATGAAATGTGCTCTGAAGGCAAAAGGAATAGATATTTATAAGCCAAAACCAGAAGCAAAGGCAGAAGAGTGGTTGAAAAATGATGGTATGGCGATGTACATATTAACATCTTCTATGGATTTCAAGCAAATCACATTAGTAGAAAACTGTGAAACTGCTAAAGAAATAATGACAAAACTTGAGTCTATATATGAGCAAAAGAGTGAATTATGTAAAATGCTAATTCATGAGAAGTTTTATCAATATAAAATGTCGGAAAGTGACAGTGTGGCTCAACATATTTCTAAAGTTGAAACCTTAGCAAAGCAGTTGAAAGAAAGTGGCGAGAATGTTAGTGAGATGGCTATCATTACAAAAATACTTGGAACATTGCCCTTAAAGTATAGATATCTGCGCCAAGCATGGATGTCATTGGATCCCACACAACAAACTCTCAACAATTTGACGGCTCGTTTATTAGATGAAGAAGCTAGTTTAGTGTCTGTGGAAGAGCAAGAGACAGCTCTCCTTGTTGCCAACAAAGGTTGGAAGAAACAAACGAAGCAAATTGAATCTGGACATAGTGGGAGTAGTGTGAATCAAAACAAAACCACTAAACACAGATTTGAGTGTTATAACTGTGGAAAAAGAGGGCATTTTGCAAAGGAATGTCGTTTTCCGAATAAAAATAAGTACAGAAAGTCTACACAACCATCTGACAACTTGGCATTTAATGTGGAAGTCGATTGCAACAAAACAGAAGACAATTCGTGGATATTAGACAGTGGCGCCTCTGCACACATGACCTACAGAAAAGACTTCTTTGTGGAGCTGTTTGAATGTGATCAGAAATCGTTAACATTAGGAAATCAACAAGCTATAGAAGTATCCGGCATTGGTAAAGTGTTGATAAAGAGATATGTTAATGGACAGTGGATAAACAGTGAACTGCATAGTGTATTATATGTTCCTAGTCTACGGAGGAATTTATTTTCAGAAGGAGTTATTATACGACAAAATTACTCTATTATAAAGAAGGATTTAAGCGCTTTGATATATAAAGAAAATGACATAGTGATGAGTGCAAAAATAAGAGAAAATAATCTGTATGAGTTGAATATAAAAACAATAGTTTCAAATACTTGTAACTTAGTTCAAAATAATAAAAGTGATATAAAAATATGGCATGAACGTTTAGGACATATTAATACAAAACAAATTAAAAATATGTTTGTTAATAATACAGTAGAAGGTCTAAAAATTAATGAAAATGATGAACTAAGTTTTGTTTGTGAGGCATGTGCATATGGAAAGCAGTGTAGGTTTCCATTTCATAAATCTACACGAGGAGAACTACAGCCTGGGGACTTGGTGTATAGTGATGTCTGTGGACCGATGAGTCAAGCTTCAGTTCAAGGCATGAGATATTTCTTGTTGTTCAAGGATGCAGCTACAAGTTTCAGGTATGTATATTTTATTCAAAATAAGAATGATGTTATGGAAGTATTCAAGAAATATAACAATATTGTTAAGAATAAATATATGCATGGTGTTAGAACATTGCATACTGATAATGGAAAAGAATATGTGAACAATGTTTTTAAAGATTATTTGGAGAAAGAAGGAATAGTTCATGAGCTTACTGCTCCGTACACACCAGAGCAAAATGGGCGTGTTGAAAGAGAGAATAGAACAATAGTGGAGAGTGCTCGTTCAATGTTGTATGCGAGAGATGTTCCACTATATCTATG